TCACAGGATTGTGGATGCTGTGTACTGTATGTGTCACCTAGCTTTTTAACTTACACATGGTGAGGGGATCCACAGATGGTATCTGATGTAAAGAAAAAATATTTTTTTCTCATAATCGTAATAAGTCTTATAAGTCCTGTCCTTGGTCCTGATTCCGAGAGGATTAGCAGAACTTTTGGTAGGATAAAGCCTCCATTCCTAAGTTCACATCTTAGCTGGTAGCCAGACCTCATTATTAGTCTCAGCTACTCTTCAAGTTTGAGCAAACTCAAAACCTTTGACTTTTTAGTTCTGTTTGTTGTAGTTTAGTTTTTAGCCCTGAATAGAGTATGGAAATGTTTAAATAAGAATTTCATTATTTATTTAAATTAACCCTTCCAGTGGGGCTACCCCCGCACTGCAAGGACTAATTGCTTGATTTAGTGTAGGGTCTAAATGAAAGAAAATATACTCACCTGATACTCGTTCCCACCTGGCTACTAGACCAGTTCCTGCAACCTCTTCTCCCCTGGGCTCTGGCGGTCTAAGGGCCCGTGACATTATCATATCTAATGCGGGTCCGTTAGAAAGTGTACTTGTAATGAAAGAAGTACAGGGGCTACCATGGTTGGTCTCCTTCTGAAAATGATTGCTCCTGGGCTCTTTCTTCAAAAAATCATAGGCCTAGAATATATTATAAATGAGCGTTCCAATTCCTTATCTCTACACTTGTTCCAAGTCACAGATTAAGAAAGCACTGAGGTCAATACTTCAGCAGGTAAATAACATTTTTATAGGGAGAGCAATGGCAGTCACCATATTTCTCTTAAGGAATGTTTTCTTACAGCAGGGAGGCTGAGTGAGTCAAATACAGAGACTTTTTGTAGCTAAACTGAAAATCTCTACGTACAACAAAAACATTATAGAACAAGTCAAATTACACATACTAAAATGAACACTGTAAAATATACTAGACACAAAAAAAAATACAGACAATACAGTATACTTTCCCTTTAAAGCAGCAATGTTGGCCGTCCTCACATACTGTACACAATTATATTTAAAGCTGAACTCCAGACAGATATCAAAGTCACAAATTACCGCCTTTCTGTATTCATTAATATATCATTAAATGTATGTTTAATGCAAGAGGAAGCACTGAATTTGACTTGGTGGCAGCCTCTTGCAGTTCCTGCACAGAAGAGGTCAAACTAGGAGAGCAGCACAAGGAGGTAGTCAGTTGTGCCGCAGTGCAGAGTGAAAGAAAGATGAGCTCTTTAGTCTGATGCTTCTTCTTTTACTCTCCGGTCACAGGCCAGTGGAGGGACAAGACTTGTAAGTGTTATTGAACTGCATCAGATAAAAATAAGGTATCTTGCCTCTCAGACAGGGCTGTGTTGTCTGGCAAAGCTGTGTAAATCTCAGAACTGATGAAATACAAATGATCTCGACAAGTATGCTATCTGTGCATTAAACTGGAGTTCAGCTTTATTTTTCAACAACAGTTTAGAAAGTATCTCAGCAACTCCTACATACTTGTCTGAATCATCATGAGCCCAATACAAAAACGTATTTCATAACATGACTGAACAGTTTAATTAAGTCACTATAGCACAATGCACCCAGTTTTGGCCATCTGATTTTTAGGATAGAATACAATATTTTCAATTCACAAAAATTTTGTATCACACAGATGAGCTGAATTTGCTTTACTTTTTTGCTCTTTAAAGTACTGTTATCTTCTGACTAGTGCAAGGTTTTATGAGGTATCGTTTAGGAGAGCAGAAAAGGGAACCATTCGCAGTAAAGAGAAAGCTTGAATTATTGAATGCAAAGAAAAAGCAATTGAACATATATGTGATATTCAGGTGCAAGAAGTTAACATTTTGATGGAATTATGGTTAGATAAATAATTGGAAGCAGCTGAAATAACTCCTACAGATTATTACATTTGATCAGCTTACAGGTGTAGTGGGAGGGCAAAGGAGGCAGTTGTCTAGAGTGGGAAAAATGTAATTCAGGGTGTGCAGAGCCAGATTTCTCAATAGCCAGCATTGGCTATAGCCTAGGGCAGCAAGGATGAAAGTGGCAGAACACAGCTAGCAAAATGTCATCTGATAACAATTCTGTGTAAACAGACCCTGCCTGCCAGAACAATCCACCAATGTTTTCATTGCTGCTGCCCTGAACAGTTTGTGAGCTCTTGTTCTGTAATGTGTATGTACAGTTCACCAACTTCACCAAGTGAAAATGCAAGCAGAGCATGGCGACAATATGTCCTACTCTTCTATTTATTGGTGTCAGGTCAGAGTGGGCAAACTGACTATTTAAAGGAGAACTATGGGGTTAAGGCTTTTCCCCATAGTTCTCCTTTGGGTAACGGGAGGAGACAAACTAGCGTCCTCCCGTCACCCTAGGCTCAGTATACCGCAAGCTGTAGCTCGCGGTATACTGAGACTCCGCAGTATACCACGAGCTGCTGCTCGCGGTGTACTAAGACGCTGCAGCTGAAGCGGATCCCAACAATTATGTCTGGATCCGCCCAGCTGCATGACTGACAGCTGGCTCTGCCTACCTAGAGGCAGAGCCAGCTGTACCCGCCCCCTCCCCCGTCCGTTCCGCCAGTCAGCGCCGGCAAATCGGAGCGGGGAGGGGGGAATCCTGCCGTGACAGGATTGAGAGGTGAGCGAACGCTGGTATGTGTTCCCTCACCTCCTGATCTACTGAGCCGACCTGTGACAGTCTCATTGTCACAGGTCGGCTAGAACTATGAGGTGAGTGAAAAGCACTCACCTCATAGTTCTCCTTTAAGCCTCCCTACCCCAGATACTAAAGCTAGCCAGTTGAATGAGGTAGGATCAGGCAGCAAAAAATAACTGGCCTACAGGGGCAGTAATTAGAAACTCTGTCCTGTCTGTGTATGTGACTTTTAATAATATTTTCTTATGGAGTTTTCCAATTTAATGCAATCTAATAGGTATGGCATGGTGAAAATAAAAGCAGGTTTGCTGTCAAATATTATTAAACTATGTACTCAAGTTACAAAAATACACATTTACACCTCTCAGCTACTCCCAACAAATCAGAAGTGATCTTTCATTCACTTGGCTATACCATACTGCAGTATGAGTAGTATGTTATCATAATGCTACTTATGCATGCCAGCACACTGCAGATGGGCTATAAAAAAAATCACTAGTTTCAACTTAATTGCAATTCTCTGTAATAACCTGGAGCCACACTCCAGAAAGTACCTTAAGGGGCCAGTAGAAGTGTATTTTATGCTTTGTAACTTCTCTCTGCTTCTTGTATCACCAGTTACATTCCATTTTTGAAAACAGGTATAGTTTCAATCGTGGTTGTTAGCAACTTTTTGATTTTCTTTATGTTGGAAGCAGTATAGAGACTGCAGTTGATGTGGCGGGGAATAACTCTACTAAATCATAAGCATGTGTTCCCACATTTCTAGATTATTGACACAAGAGATCTGGGTATCCAATGCACTACAGCAATTGTTGTATGAAAAGTACTGAGCATGCAGTCTGTGTCCCTGTATGATAAGGTTGTCTTTACTGTACCACTGTACCTTTTTAACAGGATTCAATCCATCCAATTATTGGTATCCTGCTGTTTTTTTCTATACTTATGGATCTAAGCTGAGAAAGGGGGGGGCGGTCCCTGTGAGAAAAGACACTGATTGCAAGTTCAGTCAAAGTCAGCCAATCAGTACTTCTACCTTACACAAGAGGAAGTGTCGGAGAAGAAACAGGCTGATGATAATTGGAATCAGCCAGTTCAACCAAGGTAAATATTTGAGGCAACTTATTTGCACTTTCAAGTAGACAGAAGCAAGTAGAGGCAAGGAAGGTAAAGTGATATATAGGTTATACATCCACTTAAAGGCAACTGTTCTATTTCAGCTTTGCCTTAATAAGTCATTAAAAAAAAAACCAAGAACTCTAAAAAGTTTGGTTGCTAGAGGTATTAGTAGGAAGAGACAAGTTAAAAGCCAGTTACAAGATGGCTAAGAGAATACAATTGTTACAAACACTTACACTTGTTAGTACAAGGCTGTTTAGGCAATGAAGTTGATGAGATTTTTTTAATGTAGGTAATCAGCCTGGAACCAACAGCAATGGCCCCCAAATATGAAAATGTAGGATCGGAACTGTCAATACACCTGAATCATGCTGATGCAGAGAAAGGAGCAAAGTACCATTTAGGACATTAATCTCAGTTCCTAAATTCACAATAACAGGTAAGCACATATGAAGTAACATTTCATAAATGTGGCACAATCAAGACGCCTTCCAAAAAACTGCAGGACCATAACATACATCTGAGGAGATTATATAAATGATTATTACTAATGAAAGGTAGAAATGACAGTTCATAGATTTTAGGACAAAAGTTGCTGGATATTGCCAAGCAGCTGTCAAAGTTCTATTAACCTGGTATTAGGCTGGCAGACTGCAAAACACAAAGAAGGGCCTTTTAAATGCTTCATAAATCCTTGTGTGGCTTGTACACAAGCATACATGCGCACAAACGCTTGTGTGTACACAGCTGTGTTATAACCTTGTCCATGAAATAATGAATTTTGCTTGTTAAAGCTAAAATTTCCCAGCGGTTGGGAATGTGACAGTAATTGATTCCTATTCACAGCTCCATTGTTCTTTAGCTGCTGTTGAGAAATAAACAATTTCAGCCATGTATGTGAGCACGTCAAGTACAGAAAATGCAGGTAATGACTAAAATGAGTAATAGAAGCTATTAGGTTTTCCATATAAAGACGACCAAAACTCCGGCTGCTAAAGTATCTTCACACAATTAAAGGCGTAAAGCTTCATGAATGAATAATTTATTCTTGTGATAGAGCTGCCCTGCTGCTAAAAATGAACACACAATATTAATGTATTGAAGCAAGCTGGAGAATGTCTGGTAGACATGAAAAAGAGGGATTCATTATTTGCAGTATTTGACAGCTATGTTTTCAGAATTTTCACCAGACTCAAACTTACCTCGTGTGACAAATAAAAGGCAGCTATTCCCAGAGGCCAGAAGCAGCACAGCATGGAAAATACACTCAGGCCAAGGTGGTCCCTTGGTGGCATCATTAAGAAGTTGTCTTCACTTTCTGTGTCACTTGAATAGTCACTCTGCATAGAACACAAACAACAACATCTGAGTTAATGCAATGTGGAAAAGGAACATACAAGGTATAATAACGACACAATGAAACAACAGACACTATGATTTCATATTCAGCTCAGGACTTTTAAGATAGAGGACCCCGTGGGCTTAATTTGTGGCAAGATGTATTCCTCAAAACTAATCTTAAAGTAACCCTGTTCAGTTTTTTTTTTTCTATTAGCAAAAACAAGACCTTATAATAGAAGAGGCCGTTCATGCACCTCTCATGTGGCCTGTGTGTCCTACCTTACCACTATTCCAGTGATGCAACCTTAGATTCTTTGGCATTTGACTTGTGACAGATGCCTGTGTGCCCCACCGTGTATTGTGGTTCCATTCGCTGATCCCTACACCAATGGGGAGTTGTGTAGTGAAGACGTGGTTAAATATTGCAACCACAGCATGCAGTGGGGGATACAGGTACCAAACACTGCCAGAAAAGTAAAATTATAAATAGTCTGAAGGGGCACTTATTCCAGGTTGGTGATTTAACATATTGAAGCCAGAGGGTCAACAGCCAGGCACCTAGCAGTTAGATTAGCAATGACAGCATCCATGTTTCACTCATGACAGGTTTCTATTATCGGGTCACTTTATGGCCCTGATTATTTAATTTGAGGGTCTGTATTGTTGGGCTGCATAACTAGCTATCTCTCAGTGATTGAACTGGTAAGCTATATCCACACCACCTAACTTCACACATATACCCCTACCCATCACAGAGTCTCTTTCATTCTGACGCAACAAAATGAGTCTCATTTTACATATGACATTCTATGGAAAATAAAATTAAATCTAAAATAATACAACAAGAATGATAACCCTCCTCCCTACTTATATGAGCTGTGGCTTGGGGATAGGGAACAAATATACATTTTTAGTAGAAAACAATGTTAATTATATTACCATCATTACTGACATCTATTTACTTGGGCTGTTGAAGGGAAGCCTTTGTTATTTTAAGGTTTTAAACGTGTTTAGCGATGTGATTTAATTTTTTACTTTTTACTATGATCATTAAAATTGAATATTATATATTCTTTGTTACTTGTTCATTAGACAGCTCCGCTTTTGGGATTTCTGTGCTTAAGGAATTTTTTGTTTATTATATTTTTTGAAACCCAGGAGATTAGTCTATTTTTTGTTGATTCATTGCGATACTCCTTTTCCCTTGTGTGTTGAATATTTAAAACAATATGGCCACTAATATTTCTAAACACAGCATAATGATTATGAAAGAGAATGTCTACAACATGTTCTGCTTAAAAATCATTGCTCGTCACTGGGGTTGTCATCTGTCCTGCTTCCTTGGCACATTTTCACTCTGCAATAGTTCTTGAACAATGTGGAAGGAAATGGTCCTGTGGCACCAGTCACAACTAGTGCAAGGTAGAATAAAAGATGATCTGGTGCCATTTACTGCTAGGAAAGGAGAGGACATAAAATATTCTGCCATATTTGGCCAATTTTTCTTTGTATGTCACTTTTGCTATAGTACATTTTATACATCGTACAGCCGCGCGGCTTCACAGACAATTTTAGGGCATTCCCCAAGCATTCCCACAAATCTAACACAGACATGTTTAACTCATCACTAGTCACCAAAAGATTCTTTTTTTACATAAGACATTATGCTGAAACTTATTTTATGGTAAAATAAGAGATTAAAGTTGTGTATTGCGGCTGTCAAAATCCTCGAAAAGAGAAAAGTAAGAAAAACTCATGTGAAATATAATTGGGACTGTATAGGATTCAAGCACAGATTGCATAGCTAATGCTTTTAATTATTAGAGGATTTCAGCATGAGCATAAAGCAATATGACAAGAAGGTTTTAATGAAAATAAGAGACGTGTCTGCTAATAAGGGACTTTTTACAAACCTTAGCCACTGTTCATAGCAAATGTACTTTGATAATTATCACATATAAGCAAGATTACCAGGAATGCTCTGAAACACTATAAAAAGCAGCTGGAGGGAATTTCACTTGTGATGACTTCTTCATACTATCTTAGAATATACACCCTTATAACATGTAAATGTTCTGGGGCTAGCTTAGTATACACACTTAAACCCTGTAAGTCTACATTCTCACGGGTAATTGTACATTGTATGATTATCCGTGGCTCTAGATAGATGATTGTATCTGGAAGCAAAAAGATTGTGTCCAGGGACAATCATCTATTACAAACCTTTCCTTGTATGATTACATGCAGACTGCCGCTGACAGATGTTGCTGCTGTCTGCCTGTTATTCATTTGAACAGGCATAGTGACCACTTCTGTATTGACCCACCTCGGATTCCTGCTGAAGAATCTGTATGTTCTTGCCACAGGAATCACCAGCTACAACCTAAAGTCCCGTGTGAATGTAGTACACACAGGTACACCCTGTAAATGCCCTGTGCCTAACTTAGTATACACAAAGGTATACCCTGTCAATACATTGTGAACATTTGATGGGCATAGTTAGGGTCGTCCTCATAATGAGGTAACCTAAGACTTTTGTCTCAGGTGGCACCTCAATCAGTCATGTGGGGTGGGGGGCATGCAGAGTGGCACGATGGCAGTGCAGCAGTGGTTTAACAAAAACTGTAGTAACCCACATAGGTGCTAGAGGGCTCCATTTGGGGAGCTGATTAGGAAAACTAAACTGTGAAGCTTCCAGTATAGAAGGGCTGAAATGCCTTCCGATCGGCTGACAGAGCACCCAGAGCGGCTCCCTGGACGGCATCAGAGCGCTAGCCGCAGCTTCCTCCCTCCCGCCAGGCACGCCCGCACGCTGCCCACCTGTCTGTGGCTCTCTGGATGGCAGAGCAGACAGCTGCATCCAGGTAAGACATCCCCCAAAAATAAGACCTCGTGTCTTTTTTCGTAGAAAAAAAATTATAAGACACTGTCTTATTTTCGGGGAAACACAGTAGTGTAATGTTGTTCATAAATGAGGTTTAATTGACTCCAGGAAAGAAGACTCTTAACTCCAGGCAAAAAGCTTAGCTGTCGCTTCTTGAAGAAGTGGTCATGGGGACTTCTTAAGTTGTGATTGTTTTGTTAGGTGATGCTTCAATTTCAGACAACCACAGAACCGCAGATGAAAACAGGTGCAAAACCGGTGCAAAAAACATGCAATTGGAAAAGTAGTGGAAGCTCAGAACAAAACAGGGGCACATGTTAAAAGACAAATTTGCACATAAAAAAAATGATCTAAGAGGCTAAAACTGTCGCAATTGCTATGATAAATTCCCCCCAGTATGTACTGTATGTGTGTGTATGTATGTATGTATCTGAGTGTGTATGTGCAGTATGTATGTATGCATGCATGTGAGTGTGTATACTGTAAATGTCTCTGACTGTGTATGTACGTATCTCTGTGTGTATGTGTGTGTGTGTATATACACTGCTTAGCAAAAAAGTCACCACCTGTATCCCGGGCAGTGTTATGATCTGGGGTTGGGTCAGTTGGTCAGGTTTAGGTTCCACAACATTATGTGCCGAAAAAATGAGGTCAGCTGCCTACCTGAATATACGGAATGATCAGGTTTTTCCATCAATGGATTTTTTTCTTCCCTGATGGCACATTGGGCATATTCCAAGATGACAATGCCAGGATTCATTGGGCTCAAATTGTGAACGAGTCTTTCAGGGAGCATGAGACATCATTTTCATGTGTGAAAATTAAGTATCACGCTCCCTTTCACAACAGTAGTTCAGCCGAAACAAGATCATGTGCTGCAAATGTTTACATACATTTGCGTACTGTGAGAAAGCCCAACTCCACTTATAAATTTCCCCCAATTTGAATATCTTCTGTCTCTGTACATCTACGAGTCCCACTATATTTGCATTTCACCCGGAATTGTTGAGCACACTTTCAAATTACATGCGACATAGTGAAACAATCTATTTTAATACTACAAAATGCATGAAGCTCTTCGCATAGTGAGAATATAAAAATAAGATTAAAAATTCAAAAGTTTCAGTTGTAAAAACAAGTCTAAACTTAATGTGTGTGAATACTTCCAATATGGTAGCTGGCAATATTAATAATATTTATAATATAGCAAAAGTTAAAGGATTTTGTATGCCTAGCTATTTTAAACTGACCATATGCCTTTAATTTGTTTCCTCATTCAGCCCCATGGTGCTGAATGAGGAAACCATTTTCCCCCCGTCTATGCTGTTTAGTCCCCATGGCCGCCCCCTGGCTACTGCTATCAGAATACCTGAACAATCACTGTAGCTGTTTGGTGGCTGTCACTGTTCACCTGGAGAGATTCTCACTTTCTGCCCTAATGACCTGATGTTGTCCCCAGGTAGAATGTAATGAGAAATCAAAATTTTAGTTTTGCTGCCTAAACAGAATTAGAGAGGAAAGGGGACACTTGTTCACAACCAGCAACAACTGTCATGGTGGAATTTCCTCCTATTTTGGTGGGATTTTCCACCCTTTCCTGTTGTGTCTCTGGACAGGAAATAAGCAGTTACCCTAATGGGGACACGGGAACAAAAAAAATAAATGATCGACAGGCTAAACCTTCTTCTCAACACACCACTTGTCGGTTGGGGTGGATGAGTAAAGAGAAGTACAGAACAGCTGTGTAGTAGCCAATAGCTCTGAGCACTACAGGCTTTAATAGTATAGTCAATATATAGTTTTCTTGGCATTCTAAGCATATTGGAGCTTCTGTGCCTTTTGCCTGGCTGTTGTGGGTCCATTGTAATAGTACAGATATGTCAGCACACCAAACATGAGTATTTTGTATCGAAAATCTCACAATAGCAAAAAATTGAATACAGCATGTAGTATGTATAAGGGATCCCACCACAATGGCCACTAAACTAGATATTACTAACCTTTCTAGTAGTCAGTGCTAATAAGCAAAACATATGATAAACCGGGGGAAAACAAACCCACCCACACATACCAACATATACACATCAAAGGAATTTAACAACAAAAATATAAAAA